AGCACAGAGTCCCGGTCAGTTCTGGGTCACTCAAACGCAGACAATATTTCCTGTAGGTGGCTTTTTCATGAAAGTAGTTCTTGGCCTTTTCACCAGTGGCACTGACTGAAGGCACTTTCACGGTCTATGATGAGCTTTGGGAGATTTGTGTTCAAAGTTTTCAAAATTAACTTTGTATAAATTGAGAATATTTACCAGTCAGATTGTAGTGTCACAATGTAACAAAAAATGTATAATACAGCTGAAAAAATTATTATACTAAATTTTTTAAGTGGTTGCAAACCATTTATTTTAGCTACATTAAAAAAAATATATGTTGAGTTAGTACACTAAATTTGTTTATTTAAATGTCAAAAAATTTATTGTAAAAAATCTCCAGGAGCAGTAAAAAATTTATATTTTTTAATAAATTGATTGCAACCACTTACCTTAAAAAATGTAGTCAATTCAATGAATAATTTTTTTCCCAGTGTAGTATAATAATATAGTATAATTGAGATAGGAAAAACTAATCTCAACAGTCCTCTAATCTCAACAGAATCCTACAGTTTAAACTTTTTAACATTTTAATCAAAATTATGAGAATAATGAATGGTACTATGAGATTAAAGTCATAATACTATGAAAATAAAGTCACATAGAAAGTGACAAAGTGATATGGTGGATAATTATATATTCAATTTGACTGATTTCAATTGTTCACGTTGCTTACAATAATGAGGTAGTTCCTAATAAAATATTTAGCAAATTGGCGAGAAACTGTTTTATTCATTCACAAAAGACCGTTCTGACTGGCATTTGGTGTTTGGTGAGTGTTAATTTTGGACTCTGCTTGCACACGTTCAACAGGCCGTTCTGCAGTAATGAGGGCTTGAGTCTGGTCAGCGAGCCGTCCTGTAAACAGTCTGAGAGCAGCGTTAATTAACTCTCACCGACACAGGAGAGCAGAACAAGGCAGAGATGGAGAGCCAGACCTCTGACCTCTGCAGGTCTAAACAGGCCTCATTGGACAGCCTCAATCTGAGCAATGAGTACACCGGGTCCCCTAATCTACATAATTGCCCAAGCAGGGGGTAGAACAGACGGGCATGTAAGTGGAGACCACTGGACACACACAAACAAACACATGATTCAAATGAAAAGACACACACACACTAATAACACTTATTAAGCTATGAAAAAGTCACAATCACACATGGATTCGTGATAAATGCATGGATTCTGAGGAAACCCAGCTGAGACGGAGCACTGACCGGTTAAGCCTGAATGTGGTGATTTCAGTGGGGATCAGTTCCTCCACCTCATCATGTGACCCCTCTGAAGAATGTTTTGGACGCAGGATAAAGACCCTGACTAGACTGGCTGAGAGTATCCTACCTATACCCACTGAGGCTTGCATTTTGAGGTAGTATTTTGTGAAAAATAAGTGTTAAAGGTGCAGTAGGAGATCTTGGAAAATGCTAACTTTAGCCTGATAGCACTGAAAGCGAACGTCCCACCCTCCCTGCAACCGCTGTCCAAAGCCACGCCCCCTGAACGCATATACACTCACAGACCAGAATACCACAGACAACATTACTACAATAGGCTGCATCAGCGGTTCCCAGTTCCAGTCCTCGCACTGGATGTGAAGACGTGTGTGTGTGTCAGTGTAATGTGTGTGAAGACGCTGTGCAGCGCAAATCCGTGAATGAATGTTCTGAAGTGAAGTAAACTTCAACGGATTTCCCCTGCTCAGAAAGTAGGGAGCAATGAACACTGTGTGGGGATCATATCGATCGGAACACAGTTCATGCACGTAGCTCACTTCTAATGAGCTGGTTATCTGAATCGGGTGTGTTAACTAAGCGAGACATGCAAAATATGCAGAGCTGGGGGGGGCGCGAGGACAGGAATTGGGAACCGCTGGGCTACATCATGTGTCATTCACTGGTGAGAAAACTTGAAAAAAGTACTACAATATCAGGAAGGAAGATCGGGTTGTTGATGTTTGTCTGCCATTCTCGCTCTGTCTGCACAGCGTGCGTCAACGCGCTGATGACGTATCCTGTCTGCGCGAACAGGGTGCGCAGAAGTATGCTAATACATACATTGACAGGCAGGTAGGAAAGCCAATTAAAAAGCTCGGACCGAGCGTTTTGATTGGACGAACATTTCTTGGTCCTACGCCTTCCACAGAATATATAAATACAGATAAATACATTTAGACCACTTAACTTAATGATTGCTATCGGGATGTGAAGAGACTTTCAATCAGCATAACAAAAAAAAAATTCTGAAAACAATCACCTATTGCACCTTTAACTAGCTTACCTCACTAATCAACCAGTCGGTTGTTTGATGCTTAGTCAACAATTGCAATCCAACCTTGCAAATGAGTAGGAGTTAAACAGCAAAGTTTTGGCTGGATAATAAAGGCCGCTTTCACATATTTGCCAATTGATTTCTTTTTACAGTAAATGTATCAGCTCAAGTAACAGTGTATTTAGCTTTTTGTTGTTACATTCACACATCAGCACCAAAATACCAGTAATTGTTAAATAAGAACCACTTTATTTTCACTATCCGTCCAATTTGACAACATTTTTTGACTTCTTTGGTGATGCAGGGACAAACTGCAAAGCCGAAGCAATAATTAATGATACCTAGCCATATATAACATTTCAAAGAAAAACTATTAAAAAGCACCAGAGTTTACTGTAAACCCTGTGGAGAAATCACAAACTTAAAGACTGTTCCAAAGCAGATTTCTTGCATGCTTATACTGGTAATCTCACGCTTTGTTCACACATGAATTTTCTGGAAAATACTTTTTGTGTGAAAGCACCTATTGTCTCGTTCGCACCTGCTGGTAGATGCGGTAACTACATCATCTGTCTGCAAAGAGCTCCTCGAAAATCAGTATCACTATTCCAGACCATGTATACTACAACTACATTTCCTCTACAGTTTTTAACCAACTCTGACCCAAGCACATGACAGTGGAAGAGCTGATGTTTGAATCCAAACCAGTGGTCAACAAGCCTCTCTAAAGCTCTTCACGTCCACCCAGCATGTTCAGATAAGACCTTTTGTGTCCCTCTTGATCCCTGCTGGAAACAACAGCACTTAAACCCACAGCACCGTCAACCCTTCCAACCCTGACAAGTTGGATCACCGTAATCCATACATTTGGATAGCTAATTCACATTCAGTGCCTCAGAGGACATAGAGACCTTTCGGCTTGTCAAATCCTCAGACGAGGATTTTAAACTGGGTATGTGGGGTGGGTAATACATGGGGCACCCCCGTTAGCAGACAATGCGCTTGCCCAGCTGAGCTGACAAGGACATAGGGGGAGATGTTTGGACTTACCAATGCGTAAGATCAATTAAGAGTGGTTGAGAGGAAGGTCTGAAAAGAGAAACGATGACCCTGCCGTAGAGGAGAGCCATGCTGCCCCTTTTCACTAATCCAGTAAAAGAGCCAAATATTTCAAGACATATCAGTCTACAAGCCACTGGAAACCTGCACAGGACCAGTCTCTTTCCTTTACTAAAACAGATCAACTGCAATAACATTTTCTGAGGCACTGGTTTATCTACCTAAAGCTCCTTTTGTGCTCAACAGAACAATGAAAGTCATACAGGTTTGGAACAACTTGGGTGAATAAATTATAGCCGATTTTACATTTTTGGATGAACTATCCCTTCAATACTGCACTTTAATGGCAAAACACAGTGATTATAATTGCTAAACTTAAGGAAAATGGCTTCAATTTTTGTTTTGGTTTCATATGTTTTACTCCTTATTTTCTCTGAATCTGAGCATAGTTGAGCCAAACCAGTCTGTCACAGTATAGCTCATGGCCTAAGAGCTAAGTTCAAAGTTCACTAGTTTTGGTCAAAATAGTAGTTACTGTGTTTTGTCTTGCAAAATTGTCTTGATAAATTGCTGCACAATATTCTGCTGCACAGGTCCAACAGACATCTAAAGTTGTATATACTGTATAAAGTGTGGGGTCTGTAAAAGTTAGTTTTGTTTTTTGTTTAAATGTTTACCAAGGATGCATTTATTCAATCAAAAGTACAATAAAATTGTATTTTGAAAAATCATTCAAATGTTTTCTAATTTAATAAATTGCAAAAAGTTATTTACTTCTTTGATGATAAAGCTACATTTTTAATATCCGTTACTCCAGTGTCACTTGATCCTTCAGAAATCATTCTAAATATGCTTGTGATTTGGTACTTAATGCTTTTTTATTATTATCATCAATGTTAAAAACAGTGCTGCTTAATATTTTTGTGGAATTTGTGATACATTTTATTCAGGATTCTTTGATGAATAGAAAATTCAAAAGAACAGCATTTGTAACATTAGAAATGTCTTTACTGCCACTTTTTACCTTTCACCATCCTTGCTGAAAAATTGTATTTAAAAAAAAAAAAAAAACAAAAAAAAAACCTCTTACTGACCCCAAACTTTTGAACAATAGTGTATATCATGAAAGAGTATTTAATACAAAGAGATGGCATAAATATATTTACAGTACACAGGAATTACCATTCATGGGAAACAATAAATCAGTTCACTTTATCTGCTACCTGTTGATTCTGCAACTTTGTTCAGTCACCTATATTCACTTATAAAGTATCATTTTGGCCAACTTAAATACTTGCTTTAAATTTCCCTGAAATGTACTCTGCCTATTTAATTGTTCAGAAGTACAATACTCCTGGCACAGACAGCAGGAGTCAATAAGTGGCTTATAATTAGGTGCTTCTAAGGCTCAAGTGTGCCTGCCTCTGGTGCATGATGGAGCTGCAGCTTGATCTGACCCCCTGCTGCCTGCCATAGCATATGCTCCGTTTAAGATTACAGTGAAATATTGTTCATTCATAATCAGAAAGTAGGCAGACTGCATTAAAAGAACACAAATCACCTCTATGTGATCAGTTTCAGAGAAAAAATCTAAACTGTTGTAAGAACACACGGACATGCATAGAAGGGATACTCACAGACATTTCCCGTGTTGTCAAAGCTGCTGAGCACCTCGTCCACTCTAATGGGACCAAGATTGTCTCTGAAATGCATTCATTAAATTAATTAGAATTGAATTATTAATTATAAATACAATGAGATAATGACTAAACGTTAGTGCTAGCTAAATGAAATATGATTCAATTAAAGTGTTTAATTATACTGACATAAGCAAAAGACTTAAATAAGCAGTTAAACCCAAAAAAGGATAATTCTGTCATAGTTTATTCACCCATTCTGCAATAAATAAAAATATGAATTCGCAGAATGTCAAAGCTGCTCTTTTTTTCCATTCCATACCGAACTACACATGGCTGTGATTATTTTCAATGGAATATTTCTGTGAAATATTTTCAGAGCATGATTTGCATTTAGACTTGTATGGTTCTTCTATGGTGCTTTTTATTATTATTAATATTATTCATATTTTTTGGAGTTTGACAACACTTGGTCCCCATTCGCTTTCAATTTATGGGAGAAAAAAAAAGCAGCGTGACACATACTTCAAAACTTTACCTTTTGTGTTTGACAGAAGAAGAAAAAAACAATATATCATATGGGTTTGTAACAACATGTGGGTAAAACATACAGAATTGACCTTTGTGAGAATTCTGCCTTAAAAATGGAAGTTCTTAACAATCCTGAAGCTAAATTGCTCATCTGCTCTAGTTAATTGAACCCTTTCTCCAGCATACCTGAGTAAGGCACTGTACTGAGGAAAGATTGCACTTCTGTACTCCACCCACTGCCCTTCCGATGGCTCGTCCGTCTCTGTGGGAGTGACCCTGCTCCTGGAGAACAGGCTAAAGGAGGAGAATCTTCGCACAGACACCTGCTGAACATCTGCACTGTCCAGCTGCTTCTGTTTCAGGACCTGCATTGTGAGAGATGCATAAGATTCTACTACTGAGACGCATCCAGATGTGTCTCAGTAGAAAAACGCATTACAGTTACGCTTATTTAACCAATTTACTAAACGGCCCTCACCTGTCGCAGAAGAGCCCAGCGTGCACGGGCCACATCGGTTCCACAGTGAGAGTCGTGATTTTGGTGATTGTTCGCGTGCATTTCTGTCGCAGCTAACGGTGGGTCTTTAAATGTATTCATGACAGAGCAACCTGCTTGATTTGATCCTGTTTCATGCAGAAAATAACTTCTCACAATATAACTACAACGACAACGGAATGCAGAGTCTGGGCGAAGACTTATTTGACATTTGTTTTCTGAATGTGGTTAAAATCGATGGTAGAATTTACTACCAATTCGCCGGTATGCGCTGGTCTCTGTTGCTTGGTAATACAATCCCATGCTACTTCCGTACACCACCTCCTCTTGTTGCAGGACGAAAGGAAATCAAATTCACTAGCAGAGTAATCGAACACTCGCCTCTATCGGCTGTCATCTATGATTATTGATTCGATTACTCTTGTCTGGACTAGATGTCATATTTTAGCGCCATTAGTGATAGGGAGTCTGACTCATTTCAGCGAGTCGGTTCTTTTGAACAGTTCGTTTCAAATAATCGATTCAAAAAGCTTTTTCGTGACGTTTTGGAAAACAGCCACATTAATGCGCATATTATGTAATAGCGGTGTTTATTTTAATTTCATGTGTTCCAGCTGAGTTTGTTGCAGCCATTCAGCTCATAAAAAAATAGCAATTAAGAAGAACCTAAATATTAATTGCATTCATATTAAACAACAAAAAATTGACTTTAATCAGCGAATTCAGTTTACTAATCTGCTCGTTGTTCGTTTTCAGTCGAACATGTACAAAAGAGTCGGTTTTCGGTTCAAGTCGTTGATTCTAGAACAGTTTGGACCGATTCAGTCTGTTTGCTAAATGAATCATTCAGACCGGGTTTGTGAACCGATTCAACCGGTTCATTTAAAAGATTCGAGTCAACAGAACGGACATCGCTAGTGTAAATGTCAATGCACCACTGCTCTACACAGTAGCACATGAGCAGTAGGAAAGTTTAAGTGTTTTGAATGTGATATTTACTCAGAATCATAATGCACTGTATATTTTGACATTTAAGGTAGCAGTAATACGTTGCTCATTCATAATCAGACACTAATTAGACAGTGACATCCTGCCGCTTTAAATGAATCTGATCACCTCCTCATGTCTGCTGCTTCTGCGATCAGTTTCACGCAATATACATCGGAGGAATATACATCCACTTATCTCGCGTCTTTACACTGAGGTAGGATCGACTTCATACTCACTCGACACTCTAATGTTGTTCAATGTATTTTAAATAAACTGCAATGAAAGATATGTTACTTACAATAGTGCAAATACAGAACTAGCAGCAGACTCTGAACCTGAATGTAAATTGGAAATGGATCATATCTGCATCATTATACAGTGTCAGATGACTTTACAGATGCCCACTTATCTCGCGTCTTTACACTGAGGTAGGATCGACTTCATACTCACTCGACACTCTAATGTTGTTCGATGTATTTTAAATAAACTGCAATGAAAGATATGTTACTTACAATAGTGCAAATACAGAACTAGCAGCAGACTCTGAACCTGAATGTAAATTGGAAATGGATCATATCTGCATCATTATACAGTGTCAGATGACTTTACAGATGTTAAAGCATGTATTCGAAGATTTGAAATAATGTATCAACATTTAAGAAATTAAAGTTGGAAATATATATATGAAATATGTATATGACTCTATACAAGGGATGTAATTACATAATATGTCATTAATACTATATATATATGGAACTCACTGATTTAGGGATCCTCTCAGACCACAGCAGAGCTGTTTAAAGTCCAACTACAGAAACTTCGAGATCAAGAGCAGCGTTTCAAAAGAAGATTGCGTTCGGTTCATAGGAAGTTTGCAGATGTACCAGAAAATTCTGAGGTAACTTAAGCAACTGTGGTGGTGCAAAGTGTGTGTAATACATAATTGATAGAAATTATAAATCAGTCTTCATTCCCACAACATCTTCTCAAGTTCCAGGGACAGCATCATGTATACTTTGAAGATGGCAAAGGGATTTACAGATCGACTCTGGGACACGGTAACAGATATTAAAAAGAAACCATTTCAGTAAACACATTTTATTTAGTCACAACTAGAAACAAAGCAAATGTTTGCATACAGATGAGCAGGAGATGTTGGAGGTGTTCAATGCAGATTGGGGAGGAGGTGGATATGGAACCATCCAGAGGGTCAGACTCTCTCCCTCAGAGACCATGCTGGCCGTCACTGTAAAGAAAGACCACCACGAGGAGACCAGATGTGTGTTGGTTCATTTAGGTGGTCTCATCCTTCGTCAAAAGGCCCTGCTGGTTTTAGACAATGTGCTCAGCTTTGGTAAGATCTACTATAATTGAAACTTTCTTGACAAAAAAAAGGTTCTTTTCCTCCTCAAATGTTCTCTCTGTGCAGAATGGGTCACAGATGACGTCCTCTTCTACAGCACACAGGAGACTCTTCGGTGCCTACGCGTTTTCCGTCTTCATCTCAGTGATTCTGGTGTCCAAACCACCCTTGTCTATGAAGAAAAGGATCCAGAGTAAGTGTCTAATTTGTTGGTGAAGAGTGCTTTTGGCCTGCATTGATGTGTTCTTCTGCCCGTTCCTCAGGTTCTTTGTGGAGGTCAGTCGTTCCAGAGACCAGAGGCTGGTGACCATTAACTGCAGCAGTAAGATCAGCTCTGAGGTGTGGTTTGTTGACAGCAAGACTCGGCTCTCATTCCCCACCCTCATCCAGTCCCGTCAGCCTGGACTGCTTTACCACGTGGAGCACTCAGACAACTACCTGTTCATCCTGGCTAACACTGGAGCAAACCAGGAGTATCAGGTAAGAGTATCAGTATCAAACTTGAGTAGTATTGTTCAGAACTAAATTATAACCGTGTGTCATTTTTTTCTTTCTCTAATCTCCAGCTGCTTAGGGCACCTTTAGCCTCTCCATCCAAGCCACACTGGGTGCCATTGTTCAGTGCTGTTCCAGGAACAGTCATTAAAGATATGGAGCTGCTTCAGGATCACTGTGTGTTCACAGTGAAGGATTCACAGTGTCGACTTCAGATCCAGACTCTTTCCACACAAGAGCCCTATCAGTTAAACACTCACAAGGTGTGAACAAGAATCACATTCACATACACAACAGCCTAGAGTGTGTGTTTATGCTGAGTTAAAGAGACATGTTTTATTTAGATTTTAGGTGTGTTTTACTGGATATATGACATTTTAATTGATACATTTGTTCTTATGGCAATGATGTATACTGTATATACTCTACACCAGTGTTTCTCAACCAGGGGGTCCGTATAAAGTATGAATTTTTGTATAAATGTTGTATATTTTGACATGACATGTTCCCATGAAAGAAAAATCCAATATAGCTGATGATATGACCAAATACTGGACAAGTCAACTAACTCGAATTATACTTGACTGCATTTGGTCCTCACAAAGACACAAATGATACATAGATGAGTCAATTTTGTTCTGGGGTCCTTGGGGATGGTTCTGAATTGGACTGGGGTCCGGTACGCCAAAAGGTTGAGATTCACTGCTCTACACTACCATTCAAAATTGTGGGTTATTAAATTGATTGAATGTGAATGTAAAGACAGTAATAATGTTACAAAAGATTTCTGTTTGAAATAAATACCGTTCTTTTGAATTTTCTGTTTATCAAAGAATTTGAAAAATATTAAGCAGCACAACTGTTTTCAACATTGATAATGATAAGACATGTTTCTTGAGCACCAAATCAGTACATCAGAATGATTTCTGAAAGATTATGTCATGACATTGAAGATTGGATGCTTAATAAAGCTGAAAATTGAGCTTTGCCATTAGCAGGAATTGCATTTTATAATATATGAAAATAGACAACTTATTATACTTTTGTCATATTTCACAGTATTATTTTTACTGTATTTTTATCAACTAAATGCAGCCTTGGTGAGCACAAGAAACTTTCAAAAAACATTTTTAAAAATCTTACCAATCCTGTATTTTTGAATGGTAGTGTATAGTAATATTTATTTTGAAATTAACCCCTTATTAAGTTGACATACAGCATATCATTTGAAAGACCTAGAATATCTTTGAACCTTGATACCTATACTATAAAGTAAGCATGTGGATCAAAGACGAAAAAGGGTTTAAGCATAAAAACAATAGTGTAATACTGCTTTAAATTGTTGTTGTTTTTCCCCAAAAAATGTAAAAAGTTTAATTTAATTGCAATTTTGTTTTTGTTTTTCAGAGTAAAACATAAATATCATACATTTTTCCCTGATTTACAGAAGACACCCATTAAAATGTAATTCAGTGTAACATTCTTGTCGGGCATATTTACAACAACAATCAATTTATGACATATTAAAAGACTAATTACTTTCACCCCAAATACTAATTAGTTGTAATTTTACTTTTTTTTTTTTATTTGCCACTATCTTAGGTTTTGCCCATTTGTCAGTAAGAATTTTTTACTAATTTAAACCCCAATAAAATTTACTATGCTCCCTTATTCTTTTATACATCTTAATATGTACAGGTCAGAATAAGCATGTTGTTTGAATTTTTACATAACTATAAGTGTTACACTGAATGACAATGGAACATAATTTCAACCAAATTTTGACATCTTACTCTTCAAAAACTTATTTGAAACCTTAAATGCAGACACTTTACTCGCATTTAATGTGCTTTCTATGGACATAAAATAACTTTTGTAAATTTCTTTTGATGTGGACATCTTAACGTCTTTGACCCACATGCAACTTGAATATAAGCAAATGCATAACCATTTGTCTTGAATTCACAGCATTTTAAGCATAAAAATCAGTAAAACATAGTGAGAACAGCTGGCACAAATCTTTAAATGTACAAAACAAATCACATTTATATTCAAGTCTTAATATCCTGTATCAGTTTCAGCTCTCAAATCTTGTTTTAAGGACTGGAAAACAACAAGTTGTTTCACTGTTGCAAAGGGAAAACTTGCAGCATTTGATATCCACATGTCTTGAGAAATCTGATCCTTACTTTCGGCCCCAAAGGAAGAACACAGCACCATTGTCCAGCAGACAGAAACCCGTGGGAGGGAAGAACAGAGGAATAGATCATTGCAAACGTGATGAGTGAGTCGAAAAGCTTGTAAAGGAGTGAAGCTGAGTCACCGCACACAGAGAGAACGAGAGACACACACACACAGCGTTCTCATTACGAGTCTGTCTATCTGTCCTGCATCTGTCCATCTGTAAGCGCACGATAAATACGAGGGCCGAACGAGCGCAGGATAAGAGAAGCTGCATGCAATTTGAAGCAAAACCAACTAGTAACATGTTAACATCAGCACGAGCAGACCTGGTGAGTTATGAGCAGCCTAAAAGGAATCTGAATTAAACCAACAAAGAGCCACCAACACAGCGGTGTGTCTGTAAAGCACAGATCTTATGCATTAGAGCGTGCTGTAAATGTGCTGACTGTGAGCCGACTGCAAACATGCATCATAACCCTGATCTTAATAAAAGCCAGAGGCGGTTTGTACTCATTCTGGTCTGGTGGGTTAATATTGCTTTAGATTAGGAGCAGTCTTAAAGTGTGTCTGACACACGGTAGCCTATCTCTCATACGAATGACGTTTTTAGACGAGCAGTGCTGGATGTTCACGGTACCAGCATGCGGTTTCGTAGTTCTGCAGATAAGAGTGGATTTACACACAGCAGAGTGTTATTAGAGGAATAACGAATTCCTGAGCGTCAACGTCACACGAGTCTGAAGGAGCCAACATGAATTACAGTCTGAGTACTGTAAGTGCTGGATGCACGTCTGATGACTGCAGTGTATCCAGATTACAACCACAGAGCCTTTAGGTTGACCAAAACTCTATAAACGCATTTTATACACATACTGTGAAAATACAAAGTGCTCCTTGTGGTTAAACTTAAATTAACAGCTTTTATTCAAGCCAAATCAGATCAACCTGAATATATACAGTTGCACCATCATAAGTCACTTTCATAAGTCAGTTTAAATCAGGTACAAATAGATTATAAAGGCAACAACTGCACATTTACACATTTTACAATGTATACAAATTTTAAAACCCTTTTAACTTCACAATCACATTCTTTAATACTAGATATATAATATAAACATAGATTTTACTTACATGATAGTTATATATTACATAACATGTTGATATTTATACTATTAAATGACTGAATCAACCTGACTACATTACAATTTACAAATATAAAATAATTAATTTTAAGAATCATAATATATAAATATATTATAAATATAATATGTTATAATATATAGTGTGTGTGTATATATATATATATATGTATATATACTGTATATACAGTGTATAAATAGCTGCTTAAGGAAATAACAGCACATGTACAAGTTTACAGTGCATTATATATATATTTCACACGCTATACAAGTTTGTAGTGAAAATAAATGCATAACTCTTTGACAGTGTCTTAAATCCCAGTTTGTATTCTATTATACCTGTACCTATGGAAGGTTTTATATAATAAATGCTCAGTTTTGCTCTATATTATGCGCTGTAAAAATGATAGGTAACCAAAAATCTGATCCTCATATATCAAGTCATATATATAATGTAATTTGACTGAATCAACCTGAGTACACGAGTTTACATTTTAAGATATAATGAATCCATTTTAAGACCCTTATCAAGTATAAATAATAACCTAAATGGAGACAATTGAGCATGTTCGTTTTTACACAATATTAACTATAAGTCATTTTCATACACTGTGCAATTTTGTAGAATATATAAGTGAAATAAATGCATACTCGGTGGTGTCTCAAATCCCAGTTCGCTGCGTACTACGACAGTATTTTTGGGCATCAAAATGTAAAAAGTTTAATTTAATTGCAATTTTGTTTTTGTTTTTCCGAGCAAAACATAAATATCATACATTTTTCCCTGATTTACAGAAGACACCCATTAAAATGTAATTCAGTGTAACATTCTTGTCGGGCATATTTACAACAACAATCAATTTATGACATATTAAAAGACTAATTACTTTCACCCCAAATACTAATTAGTTGTAATTTTACATTTTTTAAATTTGCCACTATCCTAGGTTTTGCCCATTTGTCAGTTAGAGTTTTTACTCATTTAAAACACAATAAAATTATTTTATATATTTTAATATGTACAAGTCAGAATAAGCATGTTGTTTGAATTTTTACATAAATATTGTTACACTGAAAAACAATGTAACATTATTTCAACCAAATTTTAACATTTTATTCTCCAAAAATGTATTTGAAACCTTAAAAGTAGACACTTTACTTACATTTAATGTGCTTTCTGTGGACAATCACTTTTGTAAATTTCTTTTGATGCGGACATCTTAACGTCTTTGACCCATGTACTTTTAGTTAGTTATCTGATATAGTTTCTTTTTCTTAGAGGCCATTTTATATATGTTATCAAGTTTAAATGTTGCTTATAATAATTTCTCACAATGAAAGTGCCATGAAGTATTAACCTTAAACTTGTATGTCCAATCTCTCCGATGCATTAAAAGGACCTCGGGCAGTCTCAGACTCTACTAACCAGGTCTATGACCATGGTCCAAAGATGGGATCCAAAATAACACACAGTTTCAGCAATGTTTCTGTTTTGTTCTTAGCTTCCTCACTGGGCCTGTGATTTATCACTGCAGCGTGTTGGAACTGTGGACAGAGGGTCATTTGGTTTCCTCCTGTCCTCCCCAGTGCACCCACCTGTACACTACCTCTATTCCTCCAGAGAACAGAAGCTCTCCGTAACAGAGGACAACACCAAGTACATGTCCCTCACTGAGTTTAACACAACACGCCTGCAGGCAGCCAGTCAGGTATGAGTCATTTATATGTGAGAAGTCTTAAATGTACACTGGTACAAAAAGCAGCCCATGTGCTTTTAAAAAGCCATAATATCCCAATGGCTGTGTTTTTAGGATGGTACAATGGTGCCTTTGACTCTCCTCCACATACCAGCATTATCTGAGCTGCATAAGGCTCCACTGCTCCTGCATGTTTATGGAGCTTACGGTGTTGATCTCAATATGGCCTTCAGTCCTGAGAAGAGACTGCTGCTGGAGGACGGCTGGGCTCTGGCCTACTGCCATGTCAGGTACTGGACTACAACTCTAATCATGTTTTTTCATAGGTACATTAATGTTCAAAAAGTTGGGGTCAGTAAGACTTGTTTTAATAGTTGAAATGAATCTCTTATGCTCACCAAGACTACATTTATTTGATCAAAAATACAGTAAAAACACAAATATTGTGCAATATTATTACAATTTAGAAGAACTGCTATTTTATTCTACTAAGAACTGTCTATTTTAATATAATTTAAAATGTAATTATTTATGTGATTGCAAAGCTTAATTTTCAGCATCATTCCTCCAGTCTTCAGTGTCACATGATCCTTCAGAAATCATTCTAATATGCTATGATTTCTGAAGGATCATGTGACACTGAAGACTGGAGTAATGATACTGAATATTCAGCTTTGCCATCACAGGAATATAATACATTTTAAAATATATTCAAATAGAAAACAGCAATTTTAAGTTGTAATAATATTTCACAAATATACAGCTTTTACTGTATTTTTGATCAAATAAATAAAAAAATCAAAAACGATTAAAAAACCTTACATACCCAAACTTTAGATTAGTAGTGTGCAGTGTGTGTCTCATCATTCAGGAGTCATTTAATAACCGTTTCTTCTTTCTTTTTATAGCTTTACCCATCCATGCTGATCACTGCATACTCAGAGGACCGTAGAGTTCCTTTATCTGGGGTCATGAAGTATGTGGAAAGACTAAAGAAGGCCATCCAAATGTATATCACTCGGGTTGGTGTTAACGGTGAGTGTATATATGCTCTAGTCGGCCTTTTTAAACATCTTTGCACTTCTCATATTCTCCTAGCACATAAAATAAAGCCATTTTAGCACAGAGGTATAATTGGGCACAAAGTAGACCATTACAAATCAGCCTTGAGTGGTGCATCACTACAGCGATATGATAAAAGTAAATGTATTTGTGACCCTGGAGCACAAAACAAGTCATAAGTAGCACGAGTATATTTGTAGCAATAGCCAACAACAATACATTGTATGGGTCAAAATGATCGATTTTTCTTTGATGCCAAAAATCATAAGGATATTAAGTAAGATCACTTTCCATGAAGATATTTTGTAAATTTCCTACCGTTAATATATCAAAACTTAATTTTCGATTAGTAATATGAATTGCTGAGAACTTTATTTGGACAAATTTAAAGGCGATTTACTCAATATTTTGATTTTTTTTTTGAACCCTCAGATTCCAGCTTTTCAAATAGTTGTATCTCAGCCAAATATTGTCCTATTCTAATAAGCCATACATTAATGGAAATGCTTATTTATTCCACTTTCAGATGATGTATAAATCTCAATTTCAAAAATTTTACCCTTATTACTGGTTTTGTGGTCCAGGGTCACATTTATGATAATAATGATTTTTTTTCAAACAATTCTACCATCAACTTAACAGAAGATAGATAGATAGATAAATATTAAGTAATATTAATTTAACATTGGTGTATTTGGTCATGTATCTATAATCTCATTAGCCCACAAAGTGAATGATATTATCAAAACATTACAGCTGCAGTATTAAAAACTACTTCTAAACCAAGTGAAGTATAATGGAAATGAACTTGGAGGTCACTGGCTGTAACCCAGCTCTCAAATAAACCCCTGGGTTTAAGAGAAGCACTTACACTCTCTCCTCAGGAGAGAAGAGCACTGATCTGGAAACAGGTGATGTGGAGCGATTCCTCTCCATATCAACCTGAGGTCACCTTGTGTGTGAGCTGCTCCGTGCGAGACGCTGTCAGCACATCTTAGTCCGGACCCCCTCCGTCAGAATTCCTCTCCATCTGTGTGCCATTAATTATCTTTATTATACACACACGCACACCTCCGCTAACACCCCACACACATACACAAAGCACAAAACCAAAGTTCCTCTAATCTCTCCCATTCCTCTTCGAGAGATAAAACGCTGATCACACACGCTGCCAGCTCGGACGATTAACATGTTTATGAGATAAGGAACAATCAGTCTATCAGGCAAGGAGATAAGGAACAATACACTGGGCTGTGCCAAGGTCAGGAGAAGGCTTGTGAAACATGCGGCCCAGAGAAGGAGCGGGATGGAGAGAGACACCGGCGGCCGCACTGCAGATAAGAGGCAGATGACAGAGTTTTAAGGATTAGGCATATGATTTTTACACTCCGCTTCACTTCAGAGAGATCCCATCACTGTGGGGAAATAAGGCAGCCAGGCAAAGGAGTGGGCCAAGTCCACCTACATGGCAGCCTCTCATCATCCACTCGATTTCAAGAGCGTTGACTTTAAAGTGCTGGATGTGATGCCCAGGTGTTGTGGTGGAGAGCCAGTGTGCCGGATTACGCTTGGATATTGTCAGACTAGTCTTACATATTCCGTGCCTTTGGCCTCATGACAAACATGAACTAGTGTACTTCAATTCCTTTATTTATCTACCATATTCATGGTTCCACAAGAACCATTTTTGGCTTCTTACATTTATTTAAAGGTGCTTTAGTAACTTTTTTCCTTATTAAAAACACCAGTGTTGTTATTGTTAACTAAAACTATTACAAATCATTTTTGTTAACTGAAATAATATATTAGATAAAATATTTAAACGAAAATTAGTAATGTTGCCTGGAGAACTAACTGAAATTAGTACTAGAATTACTCAAATTGAAATAAAAATAAACTGAAGGTAAATAGAAACAAGTAAAAAAAAAATGACAATGACAAAATTACTAAAACGAAATAAAATTAAAGCTAAATAGCTCATTTAAAATAATAAATACTATAATAGTATATAAATAATACTAAAACAATACTGTTTTACACACAAGGAAATTAATACTTAAAAAAAAAAGTAAAATCACATACACTTAAATCTTAATCCAGACATTAGTAAACAATAATAATTACATGTAAAACACTTATGGATAGTTCACCTAGAAATGACATTTCTTTCATCATTTACTCATATTTTGAAAAATGTTGGTAACATTATTTCCATAGCATTTCCCCCCATACTGTAGAAGTCATTGGCTACCCACACCTGTTTTGTTACCAGTATTCTTCAAAATATCATCTTTTGTGTTTAACAAGACGAAAATTTGCTTGCTGAATAAATGCATTGTGGCTGATTGCATTTCTACAAAGGCATCGGTAACTGATGTAACTATGCTCAGTTTAAAAATACATTACATGTTCACCTGTGCCTCTTTAATTGACATGTTCAACCAGCAGCACGTGTCCCAGCTGTCATTCTGGACCTGCAGCCAGGAGGGGATCACTTTGGCCCTGAGGATTTTCATCTGTCCTTGAATGAGGTACAGTAAATTAATTGTTAAATTACCTCCTGCTTACGTTAACACATTAAAGCATAATACTTCAGCATGCTGGCTATTAGAAAGCTTTGGATTAATCATTAAAGTTGTTATTATATAAACTTTATGATCATGTAAAAGTGCATTTTAGCATTATAGATATTTTTTCCTTTAACAATCTCCTTCTCTCACAGTTTGATGTCACACATTAACTTATACTGTGCTGTTGTTAGAATGCTGTTAGTGAGACTAACAGCTTATGTTTACAGCTTTATGTCATGGGTGATTTTTTTTTTCTCTCACAGAGTGCCCGACAGTTAGCCTTTCTTTACGCAGAACTTGGACGAGACCACCCACAAACTCGACGGAGACAAAAAAGAAAAGTCAAATAATCTGACTGGCAAGTCTCATAAACCATGAAACTAAATTGTATGTGTGGATGTGTGAGTGAAAAACAACCAGACAAAAAAGTTTTTCAGATTTTTCTTAATAAACCAAACGTTTATTTTGTTACATAGATGCTAGTTCCTTTTGAATAAAAGTTCATCTGACAAAAACAGTTTGCATCACTGGGCAACTTGCCGGTTCACACTTAACACAAAAGATACACACTATCACAATAATATGGAGTGAGATTTTGGACCAATGACATTTCAAGGTGGGCGGGACTAGCCAGCATGACACCACCGAAATAAAACAAGGAATAGATAGCCTTTATCGTTTGTCACTGTGTCGCTCAAGACACGTCTTCTAGAAAGTATCTTCAACACTTGTACAAAATATCTAGTGCAGGCAAGTAGCAGGCTTTCTCAGAAACATAGCACTCAGATGCATGGTTGGGGTGAAAGCGCTGATTGGTGGAATATTCCAGGAGCAGTCCTTGCCCTTGAGATGTTGGAATTCTGGATTTAGAGAAAGTCTTTTGACTTATTGGCACTGTGCTTAAATGCACAGTAAGAGTATCTGGCAACTCAGTAACTGAAGACAAGTCTGTTGTAGTATCCTTGCCGAAATTTAGAACCACCAGGAAGGCTTTGTTGAGCCCATCCAGCTCACGCAAATAAGCAAATACGTTGACATCGCTCCAGACGAAGCAGAACCAGCCTCGGGACAGTGCCAACTCAGCCCCCCTGAGCAAACTCAGAGCACGATACTGTGAAATGGTGGAGTGTGTATCAGCCTGCTGAAGCTGGAGAGAAAAATATGAGCTGGGATTAGAGGTTTCTCTGCTTTAACACACGCTTTCTGAATCAACGTACCTCCACATTGACAGTGCTGTAGTCTGGAGCGATGTCTAGCCATGTGCCATTTTCACTGTCACTAAAACCAGCATTGAGCTTATCATCCCACTGCATTGGTGTTCGCTGCGGGTCCCGACTGTTGCTCTACATTTTAAAATAAAACATATATATTTTATTTTTAAAAACAATGCATTAAGTTGATCAAAACTGATAGGAAATATATTTAGAATGTTACAAAAGACTTCTATTTTAATTAAATGCTTTTATTGTAAACTTTCTATTCATCAATAAATCCTGAAAAATGAAAAAAAAAAAAGTTTTCAACATTGATAAAAATTCATTTTCAAATTTAAATATCATTTCTGAACTCTCAAAAATTCAGCTTTCAGCCATAACAGGAATATATTAAATTTTTCTAAATAAAATAAAAATAATATTGTTTAATTGTCATAATATTTCACAATGTAAATGATCACCATGGCTACATTTATTTGTTCAAATAATTTTATCAACGTCTTTTAAAAACATTTTAAAATCTTACCAACCAAAGTTTTATTAAATATTATTAGTGCTGTCAAACGATTAATTGCGATTAATCACATCCAAAATAAAAGTTTTTGTTTACATAATGTGTATATTTATTATGTATATATAAGTACAAACACATGCATGTATATATTTAAGAAAAACATGTTTACATGTTCAATATATTTATATATAATATAAGAATATAAATATATACACATGTAAATATTTTCAAAATATTTACTGTATGTGTGTGTATTTATATATATACATAAATATACACAGTACACACATATATTATGTAAACAAAAACTTCTATTTTGGATGTAGGTCATCAGGAAGGTACAGGAGATAGAAGTTAAAGGGGAAGTCGCTTTCATTGACATAGCTTGTGCCATAGTACCTCATGGTTTTATCTATTTCTTCATAATCATAACACTCTATCACCATGAACCTGATTGGTAAGAGAGGAAAAAAAGCCATTTACAAGAGAGAAACAAAACGTATATTGATGAAGAAGAGGAAGAAGTGAGGATACCTGTAGCGGCCGGGCTCTCTGCTGTAGTCGTCCAGCTCTATCCTCCAGTTTGTCAGGATCTCATGTAAGCCCTGTTGTGTGAAGGTGTAGTCATGGTACAGCTCAAACTCTGTGTCCACAGTCGACTGAAGGACACCAAAGAGGAAATCAAGAGAAGAACACTGCGGTTAGTCACACTGCACACGACAAAATGTGTAGCGCTAATGCGAGCAACAAGTTAATCTTACTAAGATTATTACTAAATATGGTATGTCTGTGCTGAATAAAAAAAGAGAAAAGAAATAAAGGAAAAATTCAAACAGGTATTATGCTGGTAAAGCATTACATGACTTCCATCTACCTAGTCCAGCAGCCACTTAAAGGGGTCATAGGATGCCCATTTTCCACAAGTTGATATGATTCTTTAGGGTCTTAATGAAAAGTCTGTAACATAGTTTGTTTAAAATTTCTCAATGGTAGTGTAAAAAAAACACCTTTTTTACCATCAAAAACCGCTCTTTTCAGATCAAGCCATTTTTGTAGCATTTTCCTTTAAATGTTAATGAGCTCTGCTGACCCCGCCCCTCTCTCCCAAGCTGCTCTCAGAGAATAGCTATTTTTTCCATTCATTTTTATTCCCAGAGTCATGAAAAAGCTGGAAATACGAGGGAATTTTAAATTGCGATTTCCAGGCCTGGAAAGGTCACGCAAATGAACAAAATCCTAAAAAGTTATGGGAAATATTTTTTGTAATTAAGCTCAAGCATTTAATTGGTTACAAAAAAAAGAAAAACATGACACAATCACATCTAATCAAGTGAGCTTGTACTGCTCGTTACTTTGTCTCACCGTTGTCTGCAAGCTTACCGTCATCTCCTCTATGACTCGAGGGTTACGGTAGTTAAGGTCAGGCTGTTCCTTGAGGAACTGATGGAAATAGCACTGTTGTCGCACCTCGTCGTACTCCCAGGTGGAATTCCCGAAGACACTCACCTGACAAATCAAACAATGTGACACTATAGTCAACCACTGAGGTTTATAACGACTTTCTTTCAATCTCGATCGCAACAAATAAATAAATAATGTGGTGTAGAACAGTATGGAATGGTATATAACAGACGAGCATTCTGGATAGCACTGATTCTTTATGTCGAGCCATAAAATGTAATATCCAAACACAACAGCTGTCACTATTTGCTGATTTGGACAGTCATACCCAGTTGTTTGGAGGTTTGTCTCGTGTGCAGTTAACCCAGATGTAGTAGTCTTTATAGGGCTCTGTACCATTTTGGCTAAGTTGGAACCAAATGTGTTTGTCGCTGGTGTGGTTCGGGATGTAGTCCATGATCAGCTTTAGACCTGGGCCAAAAAACAATGCTGTTATCAAACATAGCATTTTATAGTGATATGACAATGTAATAGTGTTATAACATTGCAAGTATAATAAAACTGTTCATTATTACCCATCATGTTACTCATGAAGCTCATTATATGCTAAAATTCTAACTACAGTCAAAAATGATCACAATACAGGTTTGTCAATGTGTTACACGTTGCTGGTTGGTGACAATGTTGAGTGAAATATTTCTTATATGTGACCCTGGACCACAAAACCAGTCATAAGGGTACATTTTTTTCGAAATTGAGATTTGTACATCATCTGAATAAATAAGCTTTAAATTGATGTATTTGTTAGGACTGGACAATATTTGGCTGAGATACAACTATTTGAAAATCTGGAATCTGAGGGTGCAAAAAAATCTAAATATTGAGAAAATCGCTTGCAAGTTGTCCAAATGAAGTTCTTAGCAATGCATATTACTAATCAAAAATTAAGTATTAATATATTTACAGTAGGAAATTTACCAAATATCTTCATGGAACATGATCTAATGATATTTGGCATAAAAGAAAAATCTATAATTTTGACCCATACAATGCATTTTGGGCTATTGCTACAAATATACCCCAGCGACTTAAGATTGGTTTTGTGGTCCAGGGTCACATATAGCATGTCCACCTTTGTCATGCATGCTTGCCAGGAGGTCGTCAAAGTCTTCCATGGTTCCAAAGATGGGATCGATCTGCCTGAAGTCCTCCACATCATATCCAAAGTCTCTCATAGGAGACTTGTAGAAAGGGCTGATCCAGACTGCTTTAATGTTCAGGTACTCAAAATGACTCAGTTTCTCCTCGATTCCTGAAGCCAAACAGTGAATTCTAAAACGGTTATCTATAAAGTTTGCACCTTTGATCTGTATACGATTTTTCGAAATTGAGATTTGTACATCATCTGAATAAATAAGCTTTAAATTGATGTATTTGTTAGGACTGGACAATATTTGGCTGAGATACAACTATTTGAAAATCTGGAATCTGAGGGTGCAAAAAAATCTAAATATTGAGAAAATCGCTTGCAAGTTGTCCAAATGAAGTTCTTAGCAATGCATATTACTAATCAAAAATTAAGTATTAATATATTTACAGTAGGAAATTTACCAAATATCTTCATGGAACATGATCTAATGATATTTGGCATAAAAGAAAAATCTATAATTTTGACCCATACAATGCATTTTGGGCTATTGCTACAAATATACCCCAGCGACTTAAGATTGGTTTTGTGGTCCAGGGTCACATATAGCATGTCCACCTTTGTCATGCATGCTTGCCAGGAGGTCGTCAAAGTCTTCCATGGTTCCAAAGATGGGATCGATCTGCCTGAAGTCCTCCACATCATATCCAAAGTCTCTCATAGGAGACTTGTAGAAAGGGCTGATCCAGACTGCTTTAATGTTCAGGTACTCAAAATGACTCAGTTTCTCCTCGATTCCTGAAGCCAAACAGTGAATTCTAAAACGGTTATCTATAAAGTTTGCACCTTTGATCTGTATACGACATTCAGCAATACAATTCATTTATCTTGATCAAACTAACCTTTATAATGATTTCAATCTTTTAATATCTAAAAGTGAACATTTGGAGGGTCTATAAAGTTTTAAACATCTCTTGTAGAAGATAAGCTGGTGTTTTGTCTTATCCAGAGTGTTTGCTTTGTGTGGACATGTTTCAAAGTAAAATACTAATCATCCTGTAATGTACAGCAGTAAAAATCAGTTTTATGTACTTTATGGCATGTGTAGTTGCTATTTTGCCCATTACATAAGAGCAATTAAACAACCTCCTCCTATTGCTTGAAACAGAATATGCTGCAATACAGACCCATTATGAAGGAAAAACATGGCTTTTGTGTGTCTGTCCAAGCCATCAATACACTCACTTCTCAAATAACGCTACAGCTGGACTGAACTCTCAGCTACTGAAAAGAGAATTGTTTTTCAAGGCAGCTTGATACACTACTGCTAACTTTTTCCTGTCCTTATTGTTTTGTTTTCTATTTTAGGCCAATTTTCTTACATAATGTCTCTGAATTATTAAAAAGTTCCCAGATTGTTGAAAAATGAGCACATTATGCACACTAGGATGTGTGTAGGTAAATTAGGAGTTCTCAAAATGACACTAAAAATACATGATCCAAACCAGACAGAGGTTCACATATCTCAGAACTATATTACGTAAAATTTACAGAATAATTGACTTTAATAATTACATAATTTCTATGTAAACATGGACAAAATAATATCTATTCCCACATGTATGTTGTATTTTGAGATATGCATCAAGGAAAGGATATTTAATTAACTGAAATTAATTATATATATATATACACGCATACATACAGTATATATATATGTGTAGCACATTCCTGTAGTCAGCATGCCAATTGCACGATTGTGCTGTGATAAAATTGCACATTTTAGAGTGGCCTTTTATTGTGGCCAGCCTAAGGCACGATGGGGGCAAAAACAAAAGTGTTGCGTTTAGAATTTTTTTTCAGTGTGTATATATATATATATATATATATATATATATATATATATATATATTTAGTAAGTCTAAGACTAATTGCCTAAAAAAATGTACAAATTATGCAGAATGCATTAAAAATCTTGTATTGCAAATTGCATAACTCCTAGTAAGTAAATAACAAAAATATTGCAATAATCTAAAAATTATGAAACTATTAAAAACTATTGCAATTTTTTGTGGTAACTGAAATAAAGCTGAAATACAATATTAACATAAGAGGAAAATTAGTAATGTTGCCTTGGTAAATAACTGAAACAAGTACTAAAATGACTAAAAACAGAAATAAAAATGAATAGAAATTTAAAAAAAGAAATCTAATAAAAACGGCAAAAGCAAAAAAAAAGCAATTAAATGAAAACTTTAATACCAAAATAACACTGTAATAACTTCACATTTCATATTTTTAACCTATTAACCTGTAGTGTTTTACCTTAAGGATCAAAAATTACCTTTGAGATCTCCAACACCATCAGCATTTGAATCTTTGAATGATCGTGGATAAACCTGATAGACCGGAGACAGCTGCCACCAGCTCATGCATCGTGGTGACAGCGCCACGATCGTAACGGTCATTGCAATAAGGGCCAGGGTGCATGCGACGATCAGCCAGAAAATAATCTCTCGAGGTATGCGGTAGCAGGCTTTGCTGGAGTATAACATCAGGACCTCTTTGGGCATCCCAGCGTACGGCTTGATCTGAGTGTACTCGTTCTCCTCCGGCCTGGTGACGGACATGCTGGTGGCCAGTTGCTCTCGAAAGCTTGATGCATCAGATGTATCATCATCCTCATGAAAGGCTGCGTTCTGGATGCCTTCTTGCAGCTCCACCGCGTCGATGTTGGTGATTTTGGTCGAACTCATCTTTCTTGCTTCATTCAGTCCCAAGGAACAACACTTGTGAGAGCCGACAGCGGGAGTCCTGTTAAATAGAGGCATTCACAAGTCCATAGTGCACAACACTCATTCAGTCTCCATCCTTCTCAACACACAATAAAACCCCTCCCAGAGGAATGTGGCAGAGATTAGCAGGACCAATCACACACTGCCTTGGCTACATATTATTGAAAAGTCAGGTAACTCATCTTGGCATTGGCTATGCGACAAAGTGACAGTTAACAATGTTTTAGTGTTGCTGACAACCATGTACACAGGATTCTCACACCCCTCTGAATATAACCACAATGTACTAAACTCTAATATGTAACACTTTAATTAGCAAACTAAAGCTGGGTAGTTAGCCAGCTAGCTTTTTCACTTTATGACAAATTGTCTAGCAAACTTTTACCTTAAAAACAACCCTTTAGTTTCCCAGCTGACAGATTTCCCCTGTAATCAGATCTCTACAAGAATGAACAAATTAAGAATCCTGTCCAACTTGTAATGTAACTAGTGTAAAGTGCAACTTAAGTATATTTTTATTGATGTTTACGCATAGTCGAGGCCTGATCACATTAAATATCAAAAATATATTTTAATAATCATTACCAAAAATAGTTTTTCCTAATTTGCATTATTTTTGGGGCAAATCCAAAATATTGTATATATATTTAGTAAGTCTAAGACTAATTGCCTAAAAAAATGTACAAATTATGCAGAATGCATTAAAAATCTTGTATTGCAAATTGCATAACTCCTAGTAAGTAAATAACAAAAATATTGCAATAATCTAAAAATTATGAAACTATTAAAAACTATTGCAATTTTTTGTGGTAACTGAAATAAAGCTGAAATACAATATTAACATAAGAGGAAAATTAGTAATGTTGCCTTGGTAAATAACTGAAACAAGTACTAAAATGACTAAAAACAGAAATAAAAATGAATAGAAATTTAAAAAAAGAAATCTAATAAAAACGGCAAAAGCAAAAAAAAAGCAATTAAATGAAAACTTTAATACCAAAATAACACTGTAATAACTTCACATTTCATATTTTTAACCTATTAACCTGTAGTGTTTTACCTTAAGGATCAAAAATTACCTTTGAGATCTCCAACACCATCAGCATTTGAATCTTTGAATGATCGTGGATAAACCTGATAGACCGGAGACAGCTGCCACCAGCTCATGCATCGTGGTGACAGCGCCACGATCGTAACGGTCATTGCAATAAGGGCCAGGGTGCATGCGACGATCAGCCAGAAAATAATCTCTCGAGGTATGCGGTAGCAGGCTTTGCTGGAGTATAACATCAGGACCTCTTTGGGCATCCCAGCGTACGGCTTGATCTGAGTGTACTCGTTCTCCTCCGGCCTGGTGACGGACATGCTGGTGGCCAGTTGCTCTCGAAAGCTTGATGCATCAGATGTATCATCATCCTCATGAAAGGCTGCGTTCTGGATGCCTTCTTGCAGCTCCACCGCGTCGATGTTGGTGATTTTGGTCGAACTCATCTTTCTTGCTTCATTCAGTCCCAAGGAACAACACTTGTGAGAGCCGACAGCGGGAGTCCTGTTAAATAGAGGCATTCACAAGTCCATAGTGCACAACACTCATTCAGTCTCCATCCCTCTCAACACACAATAAAACCCCTCCCAGAGGAATGTGGCAGAGATTAGCAGGACCAATCACACACTGCCTTGGCTACATATTATTGAAAAGTCAGGTAACTCATCTTGGCATTGGCCATGCGACAAAGTGACAGTTTACAATGTTTTAGTGTTGCTGTCTACACAGGATTCTTACACCCCTCTGGATATAACCACAATGTCCTAAACTCTAATATATATCACTTTAATTAGCAAGCTGAAGCCAGGTAGTTAGCCAACTAGCTTTTTCACTTTATGACAAATTGGCTGGCAAACTTTTACCTTACAAACAACCCTTTAGAAACTAAACAACCCTTTAGTTTCCCAGCTGACAGATTTCCCCTGTAATCAGATCTCTACAAGAATGAACAAATTAAGAATCCTGTCCAACTTGTAATGTAACTAGTGTAAACTGGAGCATTTAATTTTATTGATGTTTATGCATAATGAAAAGGCCTGATCACGTAAAAAAATATATATTTTTACTCAATCGTTACCAAAAAATATAGATTTTTTTTTTTGCCTAATATGCATTGTTTTTGGGCAACTTCAAATACAAAACACAAAATATTGTAATAATCAGCAGTTATCATTAAAACTAAAAATGTTTTAAAAATAGTTTTCAGTAATTGAAATTGAATTGAAATTGAAATAAATATGCTATGAAAAACATAGTAAAGTTTAGCTCCAACTCTAATTAAAGACACCTGCCTTTAATTTGTAAGTGATCCTGAAGACCCTAATTAGTTGCATCAGGTGTGTTTGATTAGGGTTGGAGCTGAACTTTGCAGGACAGTCGATCGCCAGGAGCAGGGTTGGGCACCCCTGGTCTAGATGTTGCAGAACATAATGCAGTCCCATGTTGACTGCATCGTCCACAGACCTGTTTGCTCTGTAGGCAAACTGAAGAGGATCCAGCAAGGGTCCAGTGATGTCCTTCAGGTGGGCCAGCACCAGTTTTTCAAAAGACTTCATGACCACAGATGTTAGAGCCACAGGCCTGTAGTCATTTAGTCCTGTAATTTTGGATTTCTTTGGGATGGGGATGATGTTGGAGCATTTGAAGCATGAAGGGACTTTGCACAGCTCCAGTGATCTGTTGAAGATCTGTGTGAAGATGGGGGCCAGCTGGTCAGCACAGGATTTCAGACAGACTGGTGTAACACAGTCTGGGCCTGGTGCTTTTCTCCTTTTCTGCTTCCGGAAGACCTGGCGCACCTCGTCTTAGCTGATCTGAATTGCAGGTGTGGGGGAGAGGGGGGTCGCTGGAGGTGTGAATGGTTGTGTGGACAGGTGTTCTGGGCGGGTGTGGGGTGTTTTTTCAAACCTGCAGTAGAACTAGTTCAGATTGTCTGCCAGGTGTTGATTCTCCACAGTGCTGGGGGATGGTGTCTTGTAGTTGGTGAT